TTTGGCGGAGGCGCGAATTTTGTAGCCTAGGCCGTAAAATAAAAAGTAGGCTTGCGGTTAACTCCCAACTTCCAAGGCAAGCGATTTGCGATGTGTTTTTTGTTCTTCATTCAGAACTTTGTCTCCTCGTCCGTGACTTATGCTCATGTCGAGACGGTTGGGGTTCAAACAGATAAAAGTCAAAAAATGGTAAACCTAGTAGATTTTCGGTGCAGGCCAGTATCGATTAATCTGCCATTTAAACCTATGGAAAAGGATCGATGAATAAGGTGTTTGCTGCGAACACCCTCATAATCGATTCTTTACTGTGGCTCCAAATGGGGATTTCGAAAATCGATTATCACGCCTCTTCACTGTAGCAGGCTCTTTCTTTTGTTTTAGAGCTTCTCTTGAAATTTCGAAAACGAGAGCGCTCGGCAGTTGAGCATCACGACTGAATTGAAGATAAGGCAAACGTGACGTTCCGATTGTCGAGCACTTTGCATTTTTGCTGAATTGCCTTTCACCTGCTTTCGTAGCTCCCCTCTAAAAATACCGTAAAAAGAAATCGCAGCGGGTCGTCCACCCCTTCCCCCTCTCGCCATCTAACCACCCCCGATTTCCCGGCATCCATCGGCGAGGCACCCTGCACTCTGGATTGCGGTGGGAACTGAATCGCTCTCTCAGAGATCAATCCAACTGCGACGCGTAAACTTCAATGAAGAAGAAAGGGAGGAACCGAGACGGGAACCAGGGAGGCTCTTGGATGATACCCTTGTTGTCAGTCCAGCAAGGACCGTAAGTTAATAAGGGATGAATTAATTGTCACCCACGCAAACAGCAAAGCCGCCTCATTAACAAAAGAAAGGACGGAAGAAGATAAAGATAATAAGAAGGAGCAGGTAAAGAAGAAAAGAAAAAGCACACAAAAAGGAGAAAAAGAAGCAGAAAATAAGAGGAAACAAAAAAAGAGGAAATAAAAGAAGAGGAAATAAAAGAAGATTGGGAAGCGAAAGAGTAAGAAGATGAAGAGAAAACAGAAGACGTAGAGGAAGGAGAAGTAAGGGAAGAAGAAGAAGAAGGCGACAAAGGGGAAGAAGCAGAATAAGAAGAGGCAGAAGATGCAGAATTAAAAAAAGAAGAAAAGAGGAAATATTAGAGGAATAAATATGAGCATCTTGAAGAATTTGAGAAAATAAAAAAATGTGAGAAATTTTGGCGACTGTTTGGTGCCCCCGCGGGGGACGCTTTTTATGCCGCTCGGAGTCCTGCCTCGGTGGTTCTACATTTCCATCCTCGATAGAGATAGAGAGACTCTCGCCTCGGAAATTCAAGCGTACTTGCGCCACTGCATAGTAGAGATACGTATATATATCTATAATTCCAAACATTATGAGAATCCTTCATGCTGAGGTAGTTTCCAAGAATTTTCAGGGGCCGAGTATGTAAACCGCAACTTGTAGCCGAAAATTTAATACGGAACTTGGAATTTCAGCTTATTATATTTCTTCTTTTTTTTCCTCCAAAATTCCGAAGTCAAATTGTCAGACCTCTTAGGAGTTAAATGAGTAGACGCTCGATTAGACAGCACGACGTTGGCAAGAAGGGGGAGGGTTGAAGAAGTCGTTACCTTGAGGGGCGCAGATTTTGTGGGTTAGAGGCCGTTCCTAAATTACGTGACGCCGTTTGTCAGCACTTTTGACTCCCCCTCCTCCTTGTAACGTTTTGTGACGTACGTCCTTATCAGTTAACGGTTAAACATTAAGTAGCGTAACGCTCTCCTCAACCCCCCCTCCTCCTAGAGCGTTACGTAATTTAGGGACGGGCCACAGAGGGTCGAGTCAATAGGAGACGTCGGACAAAACTTGGAAACTTTAAACGCTTATAACTCCGTTTATACAAAACTTGAGGTTCGAAAAGTGGTTTCATTGGTTTTCCCGTAAAATTTTCTTCCAAAAGCACCCCTTGAAATTTAAAATATGTTGGAGAAAACATCAAAATTTGCAGTTTGAGTAAAAAATTTCATGTCCAACTCCTCTAATTGACTGGATCTACTGTGCGGCCTCATTCCTGCCCCGTAAATTTAGGATTGGCTCATATGTTTGAAAAGCCTTAGATCTCGGCGAAATTCAGTGTCGGGGCCCTGGCGGGAATAATATTCAAATTAGGGAACAACGCCGATGAGTAATTATTGATAGCAAACTTCGGCTATACTGCGCCGGGCGGATCATCAAGATAAGTCCCGTCTTGCGCCTCATTTTGCCACTGTTGGCGTCATCACTGCTAATCCAATTTCCCGCGCTACAGTTAGCACACCTCGGAGCGAACGCCGCCATCGTCTCCGACATCTCAAATCAAACCTCGAGCTTAATATAACACGCAGCGTAAACGCTTTATGAATGAAGTCGCCGAAAGCGCCTACAACCCGCCTTAAAGTCTGCTCTGCTGACTCGCCAATCAGTTCCAGCCTGGGAATTGCGGTTTGTGTTTCACATCGTCGCCGCTAGACGCGCACCGAAAAAAAAGTGGAATTTCCCACTTCAGCAGTTACTTTGACAATGCCAAAATGTAAAACTAACTGCTGCGTAAGTTCTCGCACACTTTTTTTACATCCTGAATGTTATATGGACGTATTGCTGTCAAACGGAACTAAGCGGCATAGGGGGAGGAAGGTAGAGGGGGGCTTGGATTGACGGCAGAACCGGGCGTCGAGCCTATTCGGTCCTATACTCTCAATGCTTTTCCATGGCGCTTAGTTCCGTTCGACAGAACGCGCTATCCGGCATTCTAAATTCCTCAAAAGGAACTCAATTTGGCGCTTAGTTCCGTTTGACAGAAATACGCCCATATAACATTCAGGATGTAAAAAAAGTGTGCGAGAACTTATAAAATGCGGAATTACGTACCCGCCGCAGCAGTTAGTTTTACATCTATTGTCAAAGTAACTGCTGAAGTGGGGAATGGACCACTAGACAAGGTACGAATTTAAGCATTCTGATACATGTGTCTTAACCAGAATTTCACGTAGAACACGGTTCGCGCAACGAAAATTACTGAGACCAACTCCTAACGAAGCTATTAACATTTTTATTTTACATTGGTTACGAGGAATTTTAACTGCCCGCTCTGAAGAAACTCAGAGCTCTACGCGAATCAAATCGCGCACTACAACGGTTTCAGCAATCTTCTCAATCGAGCAATGTTCATTTCCTACCATGTGTTTTTCAAACTATAAGTAATTTGCTACTGCTGAGCCAAAGTGTCAAGTTTGAGGTTGCCAGATAATTTCATCGCAGAGATGTTCATGATAACGTTTGCGAACGATGTGAATCACGTAGAGCATTGAGTTTTCATGAGCGGGTGGTTTGAATTCACGCACCAAGAATCGTTAATATCTTTGGAAGGAGTTGATTTTGGTAATATTCGTTGTGCGCATCGTGTTTTACGTGAAAATTTGGTAAAAAAACATGTATCAGAATGCTGAAATTCGTACCTTGTCTAGTGGTCCATTCAGCATTTGAAATAAGTTCTCGCACGCTTCTTTTACATTCAGAATTTTAAATCAAATTCACTTTCTTTTCGGTGCGGAAAGATACTCATCAAGTTGTTTGCGTTGGTTATAAGATAGTTTTCCAAAGGTTTAACGAAACATGCAGCAAAACGCAACAATTCTCTTGTTTTACGTGTAAGATAAAATGAAAAAATTGAAAATTAAATGCAAAAGAAAAGAAGCAGTTTCAATATGTGAGTGTTGACGGAGGACGCGCTCATAATTTTTGAAGTCTGTATTAGCTGAGGGTAAAGTGATATTGGAAATGAACTTAAAATAAATACATATTTTGTTTACAAGGATAATTACTTCTGGAATACCCAATACGACACTTCAGGCTACGTCCGTTATCTTGAACTTAGGAACTTTAAAAATTTGACTATAAATTTGAGTTTCCCGTCAAAAAATACCCCCCAATACCGAGTTTCACAAAAATCGATTGAACAGGAGCCGATATGGCATTTACTTGCCAAACCTACAAAGTGACGAAAATTCAAGGAGAATTTGGAGAAAAACAATTTGATGAGTTTCCATGTAGGATATAACTCCTAAAAAGTAATCCTGAGATTTTAAAAGAAATTTTTTCTTTGTAATACTAATTGAATATGCCCGAGTTTTATAATTCTGATCGGTCACAAAGCTCGGGGAAGGATGACAACAGAGTCAGGTTGGGTTAAGTTAGGTCACGCAACTAAACTAACTTTCCGGCAAAGCTGGAAGTATCACTCGAATTGAAGGCGCCCCAATCCTGAGCCTGGACGCATTATTCCGACAACCTCGCTCAATAGAACTTTTTAGGCTCCTTATCTCTATCAGTACACTATGGGCAGCCATGCTACGGAAAAAACCGCGTATGGATAATTTGACGTCTGATGTGAATTTCTCCTGATCGCCGAAATCGGTCCGATCGTGACTTTTAAATACAACCGACGAGTGTCCCTCTCTGACCGATTTTAACGAATATTTCGGTTGCAACTTGTAACAACTTAAAAAGCACCAGAGTTGGCCAAGGAACGTCGCCAGACCTTGAAATCATTTTGTTTTTCGTTACCGAGCAAGTATCAAAACAATTCCTGATTGGCCGTCTTGTCTTGCATGCGGAGACAAATCTGTCCCTTTCAATTTTATTGTCAAAGGTAAACTTTTGAGCGTTTCTGAAACGCTCCGAATTGAGACGGAGAGTGATATGTGCTACATTATGCAATTGGGAACCACAATTTCTGACTCAGTTTCGAAACAACGTACCTACCATTAGTTTCCCTATGCACATGCACTTCTTTACGGATGAGCCAGAAACTGTATGTACAGGTCCAGTTGCACAATCAAATTGAGCCATCAAACGGAAGCTCTGATTGGTGGAGAAAGACCTGAGGTGAGGATGCGACCAATGAGAGGCCCAATTTAATCGTGTAACTGGCCCTTATTTACAAAATGAATTTCATTTCATGCTGAGAGAAGACAGACGACTCACCCTGAGAGGAAAGACGAGCGTGCGTGTTGAGTTCTGGGTCCAAACGACCGAGCCGGTAGGGAGCGCGGGCATCTCGCAGTTGAGCGCCTGGATCTTCTCGTCGAGCGGGCTCACGGGGGGCTCTGGGGGGGCCTCCGGGGGCACCGAAACCCCCAACACGGTTCCCGTTTTCGGGGCCGCCAACGGCAGCTCCGCGGTCGTGGGGGCCCGCGTTCCCTTCGTCGGCGTCGTGGCCTCCACCGTGGCCTCTTTCGTGGCCGCGATCGTGGCCGCTTTGACGTTGACCGTGGCGTGCGACGTCAACTTGGAGACCAGGAGTGGAACCTGCGTGGATGCCGTCGAGGGCGGTTTCCCCCCCTGGGTGGACCCGGGTTGCGGCGAGTGAGTCGTGTGGTCGACGCCGAGTGAGCAGTGGAGGACCTGAGTTAGTAGGAAGAGGATCGTGCGGCCGTTCATGGCTCGGTATTTGTCGACCTCCTCGGATTCCCTCCCGAGGCGATTCTCTCCGATAGTGCGCCAACAGTCCCCTCTCGCACGACCTGGAACAAACATTTAAAAAGCTACAAAATGTCGCCCGAACTGGATGTTACTAGGTGGTAAAACGGACGTATTTCTATCAATTAGAACTATAAGCAGGTGAGAAATAAAAACTTCCGGCAATTTAGGCCCTATTTATGGCAGATTGGCATTGTAAATAGCTTTCCTTGCGTGACTACACTCTTTGAACTGGCAACATTTTCTTTTGAGAAAATGAAAAAGCGGGATTTTACATTAAATCAAAAGGAGCTGAGAGCTAACTCGTGAGCCGTGGGCTTGTGACAAGAGCCTATGGACAGGGTTCATGAGTTAATGAGTCCCGCCACCCAGCTCCCCGTCGTGCCCCGTCTCTTTCGTTGCCGCTGACGTCACTGGCGCTTCTAAATTCCCATTCATTCTTATGGCGCTCAACTAACGAGCACACCTCATCTTTTCACTTGCACATAGTTTCATTAAGCATATATATATAGGTCCATTTAAACTTTCCGCTCGTCTGTAACCCAGAGTTATTATTTTAAATGAAACAAGCAGGTAATTTAAGTGCTCTTTAGGATGCAATATTTTCTGAATGTACTGAATCCACCCTGACAATTTCACGAAATCGATGTTTCATACTAGAAGGAATCTTTTTCCTATTTGGACTACATTTTGGAATTTGGACCTATAGATTCTAGCCCGGTTTAAAAACAACGTATGTGCCATTAGTTTCCCTAAGCACATAAGTGTTTTTCCAGAGGAGCCAGAATTTATAGTTCAAAATTGCAAAATGCAGTCCATTTAAACAAACGCGACTCATCAGTTCAGCAATCAAATCGCCAATTGATTCGATCGACGTTGATTTGATGTTTCCGTGAGTCGAAACTTTGATTCCACTGATTGTATAGTTAATTTTAACATAATTCCGCACTTATTATTTGATCTTGAGCTTCTAAACTCGTTCTACATAAACGTTTGACTAGGATAAACATATCTTGGAGTGTTTCAATTCGCACCCTGTCCAGTGATCCATTGTTACAAGTGAGGAAAGGGGGTGAGGCATAAACTCGAGAAAATGTCTTAAGGATACTTGAACGCTCTCTACCGGATTTTCTTCAGCTTTTCGCAGTGATACAAAACAAGTGTGTACACGTGAAATTCAGAGAGTGAACGTGACTCAAGCTCAAGTCGTAAGCACTTAATTTCCCGGGACAAGAGCATTTAAATTTCATGAACAAAGCGCCTGAGTTAGCCACATTCACTTTTATCTGTTTCTTTCACTCAGAATGCGGAAACACTCTGCCAACGTCAGTGAGTTTGATAGTTTCAACTGAATCGTAGGAGGGACCAGAACCACAACTGCGAGGATCATTATTTTTGTTTTTTTGGGGGGAGGGGGGGCTGGAGATCCCTAATTCATCCCTGATGACGTTGTTTTCTCTCAACGTCATGTTCTTGGCACTGCAACCTTCAAGCCGCCATAACTCCGATGTGGAAAAATGTGTTGACTTTTTCACTCCCTGGAGCTGGACTTTTAAAAGAAGTAGATCCTTCCTTTCGATTTACGTCGTGGAAATCGGTGAAAATAAAGTACGTTTCGGCAACCTGATTTCCGGATAGGTATCGGACAAGGGCAATTCATCTCGAGCGCCGTGCCTACTCTGCGCGAAGAGGTTGCAAGTGTGCAAACATTTTATTAATTCTAAAACAATTAAAAAGCGACACAGTTTCCCGCAAGTTCGTCTTTTGTTCGCTGCCTCTCAGCTCGAGATCTTGAGGCGACCCACCTCTCTAGCGGGCTCTTTTCGAGGAGAAAGCAGAGGGAAAAAAGAAAACTCAAAAAGGCAAAAGAGTGAAAAGAAGAACTCACTAATTATTTCAAGAGCGTTATCGACCTCTCACATGCTAAAATGGTCCTCCACCACAATTCCTCACCAGATTGTGCGCGGTTCGTCATTTTTAGTGCACTTATTTTCAGATAGAAATAGTTATATTCATTTTAAAAATGAAACTTTGCAATCCTATTCTCACAGTTGCCAACTTTCATTGCTTCGACCTCAGAAACTAGTCGACTATTAAAAGTTATCCGTTTCTTTTTTTTAAAATTGGCAATCTTCTCGTTATTAGCTAGTAGCAGGTATACCACTACATCGTTAAAAATGCATGCTGATGCACCTTAACAGTTCTTTTTCTACCGATGAACATTATTCAGAATCCATGGGTATCTGTTGAAGCGTGCTCATGATTTAACGGACCTAATAATTTACATTTTGTCTCATAATTTCCGCGCTAAAATTTCTATAAAACATCAGGAAAATCAAACAAAACCCATATTAAATCAGTAGATTTACAAAACCATTTCATTGCATTCGTTGAAATTTTTGTATTTTTGATTGTTTGTATGGTTGTGTTAGTAATTTTCTCCAAAGTAAGAGCATGAAAGACTCTTAGCATTAGGTTTGATTATCCGTTCCACAATATACGAACAAGAAAACTTATTAAAGTATGACAACTAAAATAACAAGTAAACTACCAAATCGAAGGAGATAGCGCCACATGATGTATACGAGAAGGAACTTATTTATTAACAGTACCGTAATTGTTTCACAATTAGTAAATTTTAACATTCGTAAATAGAAAATTCGGAAAAGTTGGCATCTACAGGCGTTTATTTATCCATCCATCGACAGCAATGTGAACATTCCTTCGAGGTAAGTGTCACAATTGCAGATTTTAGTGAAAGTTACTAATTTTCATTGGAGGTTGCGTTATTATAATTGAAATATTTATTTGCAGAATTTAAACAGCTGAAGCCAGAGGTTTTAGTTGCCTATATTTACGATGTTATAAGGTTCAGGTTAGAAATGTTCTTTTCGTTTTTTGTTTTTTCCTCTTGCGAATTTGCTCTGTAATTTGACGAAAGTCTCCACAAAATTTCTCTGTAAAACATGCACCCGCCTCTTATAGATTGTGTAAAAAATGGTCAGATCAACCCTCCAATTTTACTATACAATCAAACCTCTGCCGTTTTAGATCCTATCCATTCCATTTTCAGTCTCGTCAGATTCATCTTTGTGATTCGAGAGCAATTTTTCCTTAAACTGTGTGGCAAAAAAATTTAAATCGTCGGTGAAATCATTCTTTTACTCTTGATATTTAATCAATCGGCTCTTTACTGTTTCAGAGGAGGAGCTAAATTAGTATAGGTAATCAAGTGGTTCACTGCGATTGATTAAACGACGAATTTCAGAGAAAGGAAGGCACCGATTGAAAATGTATTTAAATTTGTCTCTTGAGGAGGGTCCTGCCGACCAAACAAGCAGTCCTCTGATCTTCAAGAAAAAAAGAGAGAAAAAAAATTGGGTCCCTTTCACTTAACACAGTCCGCTTCATACGCAGTTTATCAAAAGGACCGTGAACTGATTAAACCACATAGGTACCTCGGTTTGCGATGCTGCAAATTTACTATTCGACGGGACGATTCTTTACAGTCATCACTAGGGAATTGCTGCAATTTTACATTACCCTATCAAGTATTTCCTCCGAAAATCTCGTGGAAACCCGCGGTAAAATTTCAAAACAGGAAGTGTGAGCGGGAGCTCAGAAACAACGCAATCGGGATACGAATCCTCACTGTTTCAGGGAGTGATAAACGTGGTTACGTACCGAGCGCTGAGTTAGCGGGATCCCAGGGACATCCGGGACGCGTGGCTGCCAGAGACGAAGGGACGCCCTGAAACACGGACCAAATATCGACTGGCCGGCTCGCCTGGCTCGCGGGACCCTGCTCAGCCCTGCTCCGCGATGCTCAGCTCAAGACACACTGCGACTGCACAACCCTCCCCCTCCCCCCTCGTGCCCCCTCCACGCAACCCATCCGACGGGAGTCTGTTCCTGCTCCCCCACTCGCCGCGGGAAAAGTTCGTCCGGAATTTGCTTTCATCGCAAAGTGAAAAAAAGGCGAATTTAAGTCCGGAACTGGGATTTTATATCAGTCGGTGATTTTGGATCAGAGCCAGGAGTGTCGTCATGGGTGGGGTCAGGGGTCAGAGTGGGGGGTTATTCCCGCTACCCAGTTGAATCGGAGATTACGCATTTTTTCTGGCAGGTTGTGATTTTGCACTCGTTTTTTTTTCTTTCTTTTTTTTCTTGTCTTGTCTGTACTTCTCTTAAATGTATAAAGGAGCTTTCATAGCGCTCTCTGGCACTCTGCGATACCCAGCCGCCAAAGTCCCCTATCCTCCCAAAGCCCTTCAGGGAGTTGACAAACCCTCATTTTTTCTATAACCCCCTATCACCACCCTTTCACTGAGCGGCCCCTTCGTCTCCTCCCAGGAGGGACCCGATTAAGCGTCTTCTTCGGCAGCCTTTCGTCCGTCATTCTATTGACATGACCATACCAGACCAGCTGTCTGGTCATGACGTCGAATATGATGTAATTTTCGACTCCCATGATCTGACGCACTCTTTTATTGCGGACCCGATCTCTCCTACAAATTCCTGCAGACCTCCTCCTTTTCTTTTCCCAAGCTATCAGCAAATGTGACTAACATTCATATATGATATCCATGAAAGGAACGTGACAAGTAAAGTTCAACTCTCGAACTGGTTTTGGACATCAGGACTTAATGAATTTGCTGAAAGATTAAGCGTTCAAACTTCGCATCCACTCTTCTCAAGGGATTTTGTATACTCAAAAAAAGAACGAGAAATTTCAATTGCGAAAGGGCAGTTTAAAATTCGATACTCTTAAAATCTTTAAAACGCGCTTTATTCATTGAATAACCTTTGTCTCTGACTGGTTGTTCCAGCGATGTCAATGAGTTCAAACTAATTAAATCATGACTGTGCGGGCGGAAATGCGGGGAGCCGGGGGGGGGGACCTGCCCCCTCCCACTAATTTCCTCCTCCCCTCTTGAGAAATGTGAGATATTTTGCTAAGTACCTAATAAGTGCATGACTTATCTTTCATCTTGGAAATAAGAATTGGACCAATTGTTTGGTGACAAAATGTCAAAAATTGCTCCTGAAATGACTCGATTTTTTAAAATTTTCCGGGACAGGCCCCCGAACTGTCTTATGGAGCTATAAGTGTGTCGTATATGCAGACAGACCCCCCTTAATTGAACGTTTTCTATGCCTCCTCTGACCCCCTTGATGAAGCACCACTTTGGCCCTCCGACAAAAAACACCTAGTTTCGCCCATGGCTTCTTGTAATGATTCTTGTGAGGCAAGTCTGGCTATATTCTCGGATTTTTCATTAGCCGCCACGCATGTAGAGAAAAGAGTCGTTCTTTCAATGCCCGTCGTGGATTTTAGGTCCCACCTACTTCTCTAATATGTGGCTAAAATGTTATTTTTTTGCTGAGAAATAGCATACCAATGGTGAATTGTTACCCGCAGTGAAATAATGGAGATGTTGCATGTGTGAGGAATTTGCGATTTGACTGTTGATTCTTTTGTAAAAGTTCGCGAGAAACACGATGGTGCCACTGGTTTTCTCTGATATCAACTCCCAAGCTCAAAAAAGCTCTCAAGTTGAGGCCAAAATGGAGGGGATATCTCACCCTACCCTGAGAGTCCACCTCTACATCAAGACGAACTCTCCATGCAAAGATAGGGAGCAAATACATTGACAGGGCTACCACTTTATTTGGGGACTCTAAAACTGAAAACACGGCAACCTTGCTAATGTATTTGTTCCCTACCTTTGCATGGAGAGTTTGTCTTGAAGTAGAGGTGGACTCTCAGGATAGCGTGGGATATCCCCTCCATTTTGGCCTCAACTTGAGAGCTGTTTTTGAGCTTCGGAGTTAATTTCAGAGGAAACCAGTGGCACCATCGTGTTTCTCGCGAACTTTTACATAAGAATCATTAATTAAATCGCACTCACACATGCAACATCTCCATTGTTGCTATAAATGTAATGTTGTAACTACTACCAGAAAAGTATGCGAGACCTTGGACTCGCCACGAGAATCGTAATACCAAAGGTTATTATTTCTCCGTGTGGCTCCTCCACAAATCGTCGCTCTCCTGACGTAAGGGCGTATCTCGGTTTTCACATGAGCCCCAGAAAGCATGGATTTATAAGGAAAACAGGGCTCACGTCGAAATTGAAATACAACCTTACGTCAGAGAGACGACGAAATGAAGCTTGTGTTGACACCTAACATCACCGCAACTGTTGAAGTTCACTTTCAAGGTACTTTCTAACGAAACCGTGAAAACTTGATTTTGTGTTTAACCAAGTTAAATTAACTATCAACACATTTGAAATAAAATAATCTGTAGATAAATGTTGACCCGTTGTGTTAATATTACCACCTTCTGCATATAATTTTCGAGACGGATCAACAACGTTTTGAAAATAACTTAACAGTACTAGGGCACTGACTGATGTTGACCACCCGTGCTTGTCAGTGTCGTTGCATCAGTTGAGATTGAAGGCGATTCATGTCTCGTGAGAAATGAAAAAAAAACCCACGCAGTGGCTACCAAGCACACATGGAGCGGATCAAATCAGTGAAACACTATCATCAACATATATCACCAACCGAGACCTTAAGTTCCACCGAGACATCTCACTATTCCTAATGTACGCTGATCTAATGAACTCACTTTTTCACCATTTTAGTTTACCCGTTGCAACATGAGAGTGGCTGGCGCATTGGATTATTAGCTGTTCTAATATACAACGTATTTGGCACGAAATAATAATTTTAAAAAATTACTTAAAATGTGACAAGGGCCGAAAATTGAACAAACATACCCAGGCCCGCCACAAGGGGGGGGGGTACTGGGTTCCTGGTACGGGGGCCCGGGCCCCGGAAGGGGCCCGCATTACCCGTGAAAAACCACTACGAATTCACATACAACCCTTGTTTCGTAAGAAAAAGTGAAAAATTTACCCTAAAAATTTCGCAAAAGGTGAATAGATTTTCAGAAACACGCTGGTGCACTGTAGAATTCTTCTTAAATTTTCAAGATTTTCAGTACAGAGGGATATTTTTAGTAACTGCGTTTCATTTTCTTCCGTCGTCAGATGCTAAGAGTCCCCAGTCTGGGCATCCTCGACTTCAATGGCTCATGGCTCAACTCCCTTGCCATAGAAAAACGAAAGGGGAGTCTAGGGGGGCCTGGCCCTCTTAGAACTGAAAATAGTATCATATGCCCCCCCCCCAAAAAAAAAGAAAAATTAAAATTTTTTAGATGTTTTGAATGCAACAATTCGCAAGTATTTTGTACTGAAAGAAGAAAAAAAAACATAATTATTCCGCAGAAATTGATGGAAAAATTCTTTATGGAAGCTTCAAAATGCGTCCGATTAGTCGTATAAATTCTATAATTTCTCGGGGGATGCCCCTCGGACCCCCCCCCCCCCCCNCCTCCGTGTTTGGGGCCCGGACCTTAAAACTGGTACCAGGGCCCGAGATGTGATGTGGCGAGCCTGCATGAATGATATTTCCATTTAAATCTTCCGTCACATACTTACGGCGCAATGATACAACTATTTGAACTCTCCGGAATGCGTGAGGTATCACGCCGCATTTGAAGGCGTTTTCAAAACAGCCAAGTTCCGATATCCGGATTATCGTTTTGCATAGTTCATATTCTTTTGTTATATTCCGTACCACTCGTTTATTTTTAATCCTCGTAAAAAAACCACCCATTTGCTAAATACAATTCTAGCTGGAGCGCACTTCACCTATGCATTCACCACTGCAAAAATGTCAAAGCAAATCGACAAGCCCAGCGTGCATGGAGGCTATCTCCATTTCAATCTTCCGTCACATACTTACGGCGCAATGATACAACTATTTGAACTCTCCGGAATGCGTGAGGTATCACGCCGCATTTGAAGGCGTTTTCAAAATAGCCAAGTTCCGATACCCGGATTCTCGTTTTGCAGAGTTCATATTCTTTTGTTATATTCCGTACCAAGCCAGCCAAGTTCCGATATCTGAATAATCGTTTTGCATAGTTCATAGTATTTTGTTTTCATTTCTGACCACTTGTTTATTTATAATCCTCCTATAAAAATTACCCATTTGCTATATACAATTCTAGCTGGAGCGCACTTCAGCTATGCATTCACCACTGCAAAAATGTCAAAGGAAATCGACAAGCCCAGCGTGCATGAAGGCAGGCCCGCCACAAGGGGGGGATACTGGGTCCCTGGTACCGGGGCCCGGGCCCCGGAGGAGGCCCATGTTACCCGTGAAAAGCCACTACGAATTCACTACAACCCTTGTTTCGTAAGAAAAAGTGAAAAATTTACCATACAAATTTCCCAAAAGGTGAATAGATTTTCAGAAACACCCCGGTGCACTGTAGAATTCTTCTTAAATTTTCAAAGAAGTATACTTCTTGGAAAATTTCTATCTATTTTCAAGATTTTCAGTACAGAGGGATATTTTTACTTTCTCGCTCCCATAGGGTAGAGAGGAAGTATTGTCATCCTCCAAAAAAAAAAAAAAAAAAAAGTTGAAATTTCATCATTTCTAGACGTTTTAAGGTCCCAGGAGTAAAAATAACCATACTTGGAAAAATGTGTGTCCGTCCGTCCGGCGTCCCCCAAATCTGTCTACAGCGCTATCTCAGAATCTATCTGTTCGATTTCATTCAAAATTGGCACAGGACACCATATCTATGGTCTCCTTATGCACGTCCAACGATTTTGAGGTAAGCTAAAATTTGGGGGGGCTACGCTCAATTGTCCATTTTTAGCAAAATCACACGGAAAGCTCATTTTGAAAGACTGTAAATTTTGAAAAATGTCTTTAATTCTTTAACAATGGGCATCAA